TTTAAATTCACCAGTGAAACTTTAAAAATAAGTTTATATTACTTTATAATATATGTTTTCAAGCAGGAGCGGACCCATGTTGAGCTCTAGAGGGCCTGGCCCCCTCAAATTGTTGAAGTGCAAGACAGATTGTTAGAGAATTAAGTGATAAAACAATGGGTGAGTTTTTATTTTAGCAAATTAAAGAATACATGTAGTTGTTGCTAATGCAAATCATTTACAACATTAAGGGTCCAGTCAGGGGCGGACCCACGTTGAAGTGTCAGGGCCCTCCTCCAACTTTGTTTTCTCGGTAGCTACTTGAAAAATGTTACATTTACACAGGATGGTAACCAGTTAATTTTAGGTTTTCATTTGGGTTATTTTTTTTAAGATATAAAGATTTCATAATTTTGATTTAAGATTATTTTAGTAAATTATAAAATAATCCATCTATTTTTCAAAAATTATTTATTTTTTTGACCGTGATCATATTTAATTTACATTATTTTATTTCAAAAAATGTTATTTTTTTTCATTAACTCTTCTATATATAATGATAACAATAATTTTTTTAAAATATAATGATTTAATAATTTCGATTTAAGATTACTATTTTAAATTATAAAATAGTCCATATATTTTTCAAAAATTATTTATTTTTTTGACCGGTGATCATATTTAATTTAGATTATTTTATTTAAAAAAACGTTATTTTTTTTCATTAACTCTTATATATATATATATATATATATATATATATATATATATATATATTTCTTAAATATCAAATTACAAGAAAATTTAAAATACAAGAACTAAATAATTTGTTTTTGGAACAAGAAGAACTAATTAATCCATTAAAAAAAATTAGATAGACTAACTTATAATTTACTCAAGATTACTATTATAACTATATCTGATTTGTGCCAAAGGTTGATGAAGAAAAAAATTTGAAAGTTATCCACTTGTGTATAGAGTGATAACACTTATTCTTACTCTTTTAGTTTCTACGGCTATCACAAAATGATCATTTTCGGTTATGAGTGTAGTCAAGTTCAAGCTTCGAAACAAGATAGAAGATGACTTTATTTTCGATTGTTTGTTAGTGTATATTGAAAAAGAAATTGCTAAAAATTTTAGTACAAATTTGTTTATAGATAATTTTCATGACTTGAAAGAACGAAGATCTCCATTTTAAGCGATTGTATTTTAAAACTATTTTAAAGTATATATATATATAAGTTTGTGTAAATCATGATAAATTTATAAATATTTATTTAGGCCCTCGTGAACATTTGATCTTGCATCCGTCATTGTTTTCAAGTCATGAATCTTGCATAGAATCATAATTATTTTATACTTAATTAGAAGATAAAGTGTGGATAGCGAGATTGGAACTTGTAACTATTTGGTAATTAAAACTCTAATATCAAATTAAAAAAATTATGTTAATCTAAAAATTTAAACTAACAAGTGAAGCTCAAGGAAAAAAAAATCTTTTTTTGAGAAGGGATATTAATTAGCCAGTTGATTTATATGTAGCCGTGGAAGTTATCAGAAGGGTTTCAAAGTTTCCATGGAAATTTGTGTCACATAACATCTTGTCTTCGTTAAAATTCGTTGAAATCATGCCTACATAGAAATGTTGCTAAATTTTCTCCTCATAATTTAAGGACTTTTATCAGCAACGTCATCTTTAGTAGTTAAAGAAAAAAAATTTTCTTTTAAATTTTAAAAGTAGTATTCAAAAAATAGGAGATACCTCAATATATTTTTATATAATATCTAAATCTTTAATAGTTTTTAGGATTTTAATTATATATATATATTATATTTTAATATAATGTTTAAGTTTTCAATATGTCATTTCGATCAATTTTTTTGATAAAAAATCACTAACTAAAATGAAAAAAAAAAAAACTTAAAGTCACATTACTAGTATGTATTATTTTTAAAGGTTTTTTTAAAAATTATTTATGGTCAGGAAAATTAATGAGAATGACATAATAAACTTAACTATTATTAAAAACACAATAAATATGATTAAAAATATTGAGATAAATTAAAAATTTAAACTATTATAAGATGATATACTTGGTTGTTTATTTTTTAAGAAATATTAATAATTTTTTGTTTTAAATATACTATACCAATGTGTATGTATGATGATAGGTGATGATGATGAATAAAATATTTTTTGATTGTCAAGCTGGGTGGGAGATGGATCAAATAGAACTAAAATTTGGCCTTAACGTACCATCCCTCTTCTGAATGTTACCGAAGCAGTGGGGACCCATGCAACCCCCATCATGGGAGACACATTTCTTGGCCTTTCACTACGATGATAGAAGCAAGCAGTGTGTTCGCTTGGAAGAGAATACGATGCTTTGCTTTCCGTGTGGTGTGCTCTTTTTCCCTATTTTCGCTTCCGGAAAACAATTACTCCTTCTCCATATATAAAAGTTGCCACATTTAGACCCACTCTCCTTTCAACTGCCTCCTCCTACTCTCCTTAACTGAATTTGAATTCCATGACCAAACATTGTGTTCCCAACAAAAAAAAAAAAAAAGCTCAAATATATCACTCATATTTTCCTATAAAATGATAAAGTGTATGTGGTTATTTATCGACTACTTATTGTTCATGTTTCTCCTTTTTTTTAAAATAAAAATCTAGCAAAGATTGACATTAATTGATAGTTTTTTATCTTCCATGAACAGATGCCGATAGTTCAGCCCCATCTCCGTTGATTTAAGATGATTTAAACTCATTTATGTGCGTGAGATTGTAGTCAATTTGTACGTACGAGATTTTTTTTTTTTTAATATATAATTATATCACTTAAAGAACTTGTTGTTGCTTGAAAGACCATCTTATATGTAGTTGGTGTTATCAACTATCTTTTTTCAAATAATAAGTTATAATTTCTCTTGATATAATGTAAAAATGATAATTTGTTTATATTTTATTTAAAATTAATGAAAAAGTGGCTAATTTTTATTTAAAAAATAATAATATCCACATAATTTTACCCAAAATTTTATTATCATTTTTCCACTCAAAATACAAACATACACGATCGAGGTAATCTAGACTCGGACACATTTATAATAGAAATTTATATCAAATTAGAATTGTAGACAATATTGATTTATATTGCATTTGTTCTTTGATTTGAAGAGGAATTGTGGAAGTTTACTCTCTCTTTCTCAGTAAGACCCTACGAATCTAGCTAGTATTTTATAAAGCAATTTTCTAGTTGTTGTGGATAATTCTCTGCAATAGCAAGCTTTTTTTCACCTTCTTTATAGTTCTAGATTATTTAGTTTTTATTTAATTTGTGTTTATAGAATTAAATTTTGCATTTAGATTTATATGGTCGTTTGTTGGTTATTTGTTTTTTTTGCTCGTTGTGGGTTTTTTTAATACAAATATGATATTTGTTTTAACTAAATAAAAAAGATTAATATTGATCTTTCAGTCTGATAATACGGTTTGTTCTCCTACTGATTTAGGATAACTCATTTGTATGGATGAGATGCATTCAATTTCAATACAAACAATTTAAAATAAATTTGATATTTAAAAAGATTTTTTTTGTCAGTCAAATCACTAAAAGGACTAATTCTTGTCACGATGACCATCCTACACCATTGATGTTTTCAATTACTTTTCCAAGCATCAAATTGAAAATAATAATTTATTTGCACGTAAACAAAAAAGAAAAAAAAGTGAATAGATACCGTATCAAACTACGCGCCAAAATAAGGGAGCAGTCCAATTCTGGTTGAAAAAAAGGTAATGAAATAAAAAGATAACAATATATATAATTTTCCAAGTCAAAGAAATATTTCTTGGGAACCGTCCAAGCTAGAAAAGCCACCACCTCTCCCTCCACTATTTCTCTCTTTCTTTCTATTTTTGTGCTGGCTTCACCTTTCAAGATTCTGTAATACTCCATTTGATTTACAAGAAGGCCCCATCCTTAAGTATACTGCATTAGTGTCTTAGGATAAGACTATTACACCCTTATCAGTGCCATATTTGATTCCCAATTGACCAATTCTTATAATTAAACCATCAACAATAAAACTATATGTGATAAAAAAATTATAATAGATGAGTGGAACTTTGGGTAACAAATTAATTAAGGGCAGAAGTACAGGTACAATTTTGTAGAACAAAGTAAATTCGTTATCCCTTTTGTTTTTTCTTTTTCACCTTCGGCTCTCGTATGTATATATTTTTTGTTATTGATCAGAATTATCTTTTATGTCATTAAAATTAAGTATTTCTTCGTATCATTTTAATATGTATTTTTATATTGACGTGACACATTTAAATTTTTTTAATAATTAATGTCAACACTAACTTTAAAATTTAAATTAAAAAAAAATTGAATGGCTACATGAATATCAATAAATACTTCAATTCGGTTGCTATTTAATTGGAGAATAGTTGCGTATGTTTAGCAAAAACATTTCTCAGTCTTGTAACTTGTAAGGGCGTTTTGGGCATGCCGAGATAGAAAATCAGAAACTCTAGTTCCTTTGTAAACCTAGGGTTTACAAAAACTCTATTCTAGAAAAGGGTTTCCTCGTAAATACACAAACTCATAGCCACATTATTATTATTTTTTTTTTTGGTAAAATCATAGCAGCATCTTTAATATATACTTCCTTGTTAAGTTGGTCATTTGGTTACTCAACAAATGTGTATCGAATTTCAAACCCTCCTTTACATTCACTTTTTCTGAAGCTTCTCCTTCTCTCCCTTCCTTTCTTTTCTTCTTTCTTCTCCCTTCTTTAGCTAGCCTTGGTGCTGGTTCATGGATATTGAACCCTTGTGGGCTCTTGGGGGGTGGTTTCTTTTTTCCATTAATTGCATGGCAACACCAAAAACACAATCAACAATCAGTGAAACCTACACAAAATCACACCATTTCCTTCTATTCCTAGCACTTCTTTTCATTTTTATTTTACTCACTAGCCCTACCAAGCCAATAAACCCAACAAACATGGCTGCATCGATTTCCATCAAGAGGCTTCTATTAGAATCCTCAGAACCAGCCTCTACTAGCATGAACTTGCATCCAAAACAAACGCAAGACGCACATACTTCTTCTTCTTCTTCTCCATCATCAAAATCTACTCGTACCAAGTTTGGAGCTGAGGCTCATGAAGTTCCTAGTGGTCCAAACCCTATATCAAACAGGTAATTTATTAAGTTGATCAATGATCATGATCATGAAGCACAGAAAACTCGCTTTTCTTCCCATGGGAGCCGGTTGATGCAGATGATATATAGCCAGAGAGTTGTAACGGAGAAGTTATTATGAATTTGTCATCTTTATTGTTATTGTTTTAGTGCACCATTAATACTTCTTGTCCTCAGTGAGAGGTTTGTTTCCTTGTTGTTATGTCATCATCCTTAGCCTTACTCGTTTTTTCTTTTCTTTCTTTCTTTCTTTTTTCGTGTTTGCTTTGAAGGGCGAAGGGCAGAGGTTCTTTTTTTCTTACTAGAAATTAATGTATAGCAAGAGAGATACTGATCATCTATATAATTATATATCTTCGTATATGTATCTACCCATCTCGTTATTAATTTGCTTCATACATAGATGATGGTGGTGATACCATAAATTAATTATCTACCCATCTCCATGGTAATTTGTTTCTAGCAATATGATGCATGATCTGATGAGTGGTTTAGGCCTATATATATCTTGTGGGCTGACCCTTTTTGTTTTCGTAAAATATAATTTGATATATTGCCAAAATCTTGAGAAATTAGTGAAGATCTAGCTTGGTCGCTAGCATGGCTTGGGTATATGGTTGTTGCATGGATTTCCTTTTTAACCTATTGGGGTTTCAGACCAGGCAAGGGAAGGAAAGGCAGATAAGAAAGGAATCTGAGAGGTACAGTTGTGTCAGATGTGTGACAGTGTTAGGACAGAGGCCATTTTGTTTTTCCTTGAGAAATTATTTGATCTTCCTTTTGGACTTGAGCTATTGTCTTCTAAAGCACAGCGTCCATAAAAGCTGAGATGAAATGACAAAACAACAATTAATGAGTCATGAGAGGGACAGAGCTAGGTAGCCCATGATTTGATAATCATAACAGTATCATTCGCAGTATTGTTGAATAACTAAGGTGCCATCAATCATATGCTTTATGATGGTTAATTTCCCTGTTTTGACAGAGAGAGAGAGAGCTTTTTTTTTTTCCTTCTCTTTGACTTTTGTCAGACTATTTTATCCAGAGAGTGAAGTTTTTCCATCTTCAACCGGAAATTATGGCTGTAAAGTGACAAAAATTTGCAGAGTTGTTGCGTTTGCCATGCCTTTGTGTTTTTAACATTTGATTTTGACCATGTTTTATTTATTATCCAGATTTTGACCAAATCATCATTGAAACTTTTATTGGCAGTATATATATACATACCCTTTTTAAAAAAAATTTCATCTAAAATTTTTAATTTGTTTAAATTAGATTCTATATTTTTTTATTTTATTTTATTTCGATTAACCTCGATGTTTTTCACTTTTATCATAATTTTTTTTTCTGAGCTCATTTTCGATAGGTGTATATATTTTAATTTCATCCATTAAATTTATAAAATATTTCAATATCATTCAAAGAGTAAAGAACAAGATAAATTAATTGAAATTGATAAAAATAAAAACAGAAAGTCAATGCAAATATATTTTTCATTAAATCAAATACAATAAACATTGAGAGAGTTAGTTTCTTTACAAATCTTCAAATTGTACAAACTTCGATGCTCACTTAACAATATGATTTTTTCCTTTATTGATACTACAGTTAAATGAAAATCAAAATAAAAATTAATGTAACTCTTTCTTTTAATTTTTATTTGTCAAAACTTTTACATTTTTAATCCCTCTCAACTATCATGTCTTTATATATATATATATATATATATATATATTGCCATCAAATAACGTCTTTGATAGGTACAAATAAACATGCTTTAAGTAATGTTAAAATTATCATGTATTCAAACTATCATTCCATTCATCAAGAATTTCAAATTTTTTTTTAGAATTCTTTTTCAAGATTTTAATGAAAAATTAGATAAAAGGTGTAGATATGATATATTGGTGAAAAAGTATATGAGGGGCAGCAATAATGATGGTTGATATTTTTTTATTATCATTTTTAACTTAATTTCATTCTTGTATTGTTAAAGGATTGATCTAAATGGAACAAATAAAAGGTTTTAGATAAAATTAAGACAAAATGTAAACATCAGGCACAAATTAAAATTTATCCATAATAGTACACATGATGATAATTAGCAATTTGATATTTTTAAGGAGTTGCAACGAAATCAAAACCCAATAATGACATTATCAATTAGGGTACTTAAAAGAAAAGGATTTTCATCAACAGTATCTATCAACCCTTTGACAATATTAGAACAAGATTAAGTTAAAAAGAAATATGATTAAAAAAAAAGAAATTCATTAAAGAAACACATTTAACAAATTGAAATTAAAAAATAAAAAAATAAACAAAGACATTTTTTGAGTAAAACAAATATGGATAAAAAAGATTTTTTTTTCATCAACATTATCTACAAATCTTTTGACAATACAAGAATAATATATATAATAACAAAAAATTAACAACATCAACCACCATTGTTGTTGCCTTTCTTGCACTCTCTCACTCGCATATCATATTATATATTTTATCTAATTCCCCATCAACTATAAAATCTTGAACAAAAAAAAAAAAAAATCCTATGATGAATGAGGATAGGACAAGTTACACATCATTTAGAGTTAAATTCATTTGAATCTTAATTTTTATTTAACTATATATGGTATCGAAAAAATGATGTTATTAAGTTGGCAAGATTGGAGTATTTTTTGAAAAACTAACCCTCGTAAGTTTTGTCATATTTATTTTATTTAAAAAATATATTTTTTAATTGATTTTCTATGTCAATTGTGCTAATTTTAATTCGTTTACTTTTTAAATAATATTGAGATATTTTATAAATTTTTCAAACGAAGTTGAAAGTCACATATTTTCTGTTATTATTCCTAACAAAAATGGTCAAAGAGGGGAAATTAGAGAAAAGAAGGAAATTAGAGAAAAGAAAGAAAGAAAGAAAAGATTTGACAGCCGATTAGAACAACAACGAAAGGTATGGAGACTAACTGAAAAAAAAAAAAATCAGTGTAAATTGAAAAAATGTATAAAACTAAGGAAAGCAAATTGAAATTTACCTTAATATTAATTATTAATGTCCTCAAACTAACTCACATGGGATATGGAGAGATAAGACACTATATTTCCATTAAAAAAGCAAGTGCTTTTTTTCTAAAAAAAAAAATTGTGAGAGAATCACAAATTAATAGCATTATGAATACTACTCTACAGTCAATCTCTGTGTATGGCCCTCTCTATGCCTTGAATATCAAAACCTAAACTTTAGGTTTAATGAAACTGGAGACGATTTCTTAGATTTTCCAGCTTGCATCCACGTTGATTGAATAATGGCAACCAGAAGGGAGTAGGAGTGACAAGAACATGTAAGGAAAGCTGCATGGAAGCGGACAAGCAGTTACCCTAGCTAGGCTAGAAAGCAAAGAGAAGGATGACAAAATGAGGGGATTTCAACCAATATAGGCTCCTTTGAAGGTCACGTCAATTACCTTCGCTGGAGCACACCATGCAAGTTTGAATCAAATTTTACTGCATTTAGTGTTGTTGTCCAATCAATAAAGTTTTTTTTTTTTATCAAATCAATAAAGCAGAAGCTGGCGTATTATTGGATAAACATATCAATAAAGTGGAAGGAAAACCCACGAAGGAACAAATATTACATAATGATTATGTTTTGTTTGCTTCATTGTTTCAGGGTAAATTCATGACTGACCACCTTTATTACTTAGTTTGGTGAGATTGTGTTTGAGAAGCAGCAATATTTGAAGCTTTTACAGCCCAAAAACATGGAAACATAGGGATTTCCAGCAAAAGCTTGCATGATATTCCCAATAACTTTATCACCGCCTTGAAGGATAGTATTAAGTTATATGTATTTTGAATAATTATTAAGACTCTGTTTGTCCGGAGAAAAATAAATTTTTAAAACTTATTTTTTTCATTTTTTATCATTTTTTGATATTTGTTTCGCATTTTAAAAAAAAATCAACAAAATTAATAGAATTTGATTTCAAGTTAATAAAAATTAATAAACTATTTTTGAAAAAGTAACTTCCCAACTAAAAAAAAAGAAAACATTTTCTCTCTCTCACACAAGTTGTCTTGCGTTACTCACCCATCTCTTGATATATTTTAATAATTTTTTATATCTCCTTTTTTATTTAAAATTATTATTTAATTATTTTTTTCTATTTCTACTAACACTTGATTTTTTGATTTATAAATACATTAAATATTATTAAAAACTATTTTTACACCTTAAAATTATTTTTATAATAAATATTTCAATAATTTATCTCTCTTTTTTTTTTATCATTATCTCAAACATCACCCAAACTATACTTAAATTATTGGAAATGATTATTACAAGTGTAAAATTATTTGTGAAAAAATTGAAACTAATTAATTCATCAATAAATACATTATTTTTTTAATACCATTCATTTACAACTAAATCAATAATTTGTGATTAAATTTAATCAGTTGTAAAATTTTATTGGTAATTGTAGTTAACAATTAGCTACAAATTATTTCAAAATTAATATTTTAAAACCAAATGAATAATTATCTATAAATGATAACTAATAATTTATAAAACTATTTTTTAGACTTAATTATCAGCTCAATTTCTAGAAAAAAATTCTTAATTGAGTTACTAAAATAACAATGTTAGGATTACTTAGAATTCTTTTTTTTTTTTTTAAATGTGAATATTGACTTGATTTTGTCCCAAGTAGTTTTGATGAATTGGTTTGATGATTAAAAATGTATATTTTATTTTTGATTTTTTGAATTTAAATCTTAGAGTTAGTATTTATAAAAATTTATTAAATTTTTATAAATGCATCTTATTGATTTTAAAAATATATTTTAAAAATCTTTCGAAAAAGATTTAGTTTCAATTGTAAATTGATTTTAAAATATTTTTTACGTCCGACTAAAAAAAAATTATGGTCCAAATGATATTTCAACACCATGGGTCTCTATCTCGATATATTCTTGATTATAATTAATATTTTCTATTTTGATACATCAACATATCGTTAATTCATATGCTCTGTTTTAGTAGCTTTTTGTATATGCACTATTATGGATGTGAGATTTTTTAACAATTTTTATATTGTGAAATTGTGAATATGCCTTATTGAAGTTCTCGCAAAATTTGTTGATATAACAATCACGGTTAGTTTTTGTATTTTAATTTTCTCGTATAAAAAAATACTAGAATATATT